ACCAGTCTTAATTTTGACAGATATTGTCAAATTTCCACCCAAATACATGAAACCAATTTACTTTCCCTTCAATTTGATGTGAGAGAAACTGTTCCTCCATGCTCTCGCTAATGCTGGCCATTAACTATTTCTTCAACCTTTGCCAATCTGATGGGTGGAAAAAGAGTATTTTTATTTATTTATTAATGATGATTACAGTTAAATATTTTTTAAAATGTGCCTGGTTGTGTTTTAAATCTTTGAGCCATCTGGGACTTATTTTATTATAAGAGAACTTTATGTTTTCCAAATGGCAGTGCTTGTTATTAAATAATTCACATTTTCTCCACTGATTTGAAATGCCACCCAATTCTAAATTTTAAAAATGAAAAGAGGTCACCTCAACCTAAACCTCACACTATACATAAAATTTCATTCTGACTAGGTCATGGATTTAAATGTAAAATGTAAAACTATACTTTTAGAAGGTAACATAGGATGGAGGTCATGTTCAAGACCCAGGGCTAGGCAAAGAGTTCTTAGAAATGACGCCAAAAGCACAATCCACAAAATGAAAAATTAATAAATTGAACTCCATCATAAAACTTCCGTGCTGTGAAAGATCTTGTTAAAAAGGATGGAAAGACAAGCTATAAAAAAAATATTTGCAAGCCACATGCTCAACAAATACCTTTCACAGAGACTATGTAAAGAACTCTCAAAACTCAACAGTAAAAAGCAAATTGATTCAATTATAAAATGGGAGAAAAAAACTATAAACAGATATTTCACCAAAGAAGAGGTGCAGATGGCAAGCAAAGATATGAAAATATGTTCAACATCATTAGGTGTTTCAGAAATGATGAAAATTAAAAATTGATGAAATAAAAAAATGATGAAATGATTAAAAATTCAAAACACAATGATATCTCCTATCATATAAAACCACCTATCACAATAGCTAAAATTAAAAATAAAAAACATTAACACCAAATATTGGCAAGGAAGTGGAAAAATAGGAACTCTCATACACTGTTGGTAGAAATGTAAAATGGGACAACCACACTGGAAAATAGTTTGACTGTTTCTTAGAAAAGTAAACTGGCACTTACCATACTATCCAGCAATTGCACTCTTGTATGTCTATCCCAGAGAAATAAAAACTGGTGTTCACACAAAAACCTGTGCATTAATGTTCCTAGGAATTTGATTCATAACAACAAAAGAAAAGAAACAATCCAAGTCTTTTGATGGGCAAATGGCTGAACAATCTCTTGTAAATCTATGCAATGGAATACTACGTAGCAATAAAAAGATCTGAACTATTAATACAAGCAACAACTTCAGAAGCATTATGCTTAATAGAAAAAGCTAGTCTCAAAAGGCAACATATTATTCAATTCAATTCATGTAATATTCTCCAAATGGCAAGAATAGAGAGATAGAGAACAGATTAGTGGTCACCATAGGACAGGGAGAGAGAGGAAGGCTTAAAGTTGAGGGAGCAGTATTCAAATACAATGATGTAGCTAAAGGGAGTTCTTTTGTGGTGATGAAATAATTCAGTATTGTGATTGTAGTAGTTACAGGACTACATACATGTGATGAAATTACACAGAGCTATATGTAATGCAAACATACACACACAAATGCAAGTTAAAAACAGTGAAAATGGAATAACTTCTGTAGTTTATAGTTATATACCAATGTCAATTTCCTGGTTTTGATAATGTACTACAGACATAATATGCTGATATTAGTGGAAACTGCAGGAACTGTTTTTGCAACTTCCTATGAATCTATGTTGTTGTTACGTGCCATCCAGTTGGTTCTGACTCATAGAGACCCTACAACACAATGAAACACTGCCCGGTTCCACACCATCCTCACAATCTCTGCTGTGTTTGAACCATTGTTGCAGCCACTGTGTCAATCCACCTGGTTGAGAGTCTTCCTCTTTTTTTCTCACATTCTACTTTATCAAGCATGATGTCTTCCTCCAGGGACTGGCCATTCTGATAATATGTCCAAAGCACAGGACATGAAATCTAGCCATCCTCACTTCTAAGGAGGAGTCTGGCTGTACTTATTCCAAAACAGATTTGTTCATCTTTCTAGCAATCCATAGTACATTCACAACACCATAATTCAAGCCATCAATTCTCAATTCTTCCTTAGTCATTGTCCAGTTGTTGCATGCATGTTGTTGTTAGGGGCTGTCAAGTCATTTCTGACTCATAGCGACACTATACATAGCAGAACGAAACACTGCCCAATCCCGTGCCAGCTCCATGATTCTTGCTATAATTGAGCCCATCATCACAGCCACCGTGTCAGTCCATCTCATTGAAGGCCTTCCCCTCTTGTGTTGACCCTCCACCTTACCAAGCATGACATCCTTCTCTAGGGAATGGTCCTTTCTGACAACATGACCAAAGTAGGTGAGACGAAGTCTCGCCATTCTTGCTTCCAAGGAGCATTTTGGTTGCACTTCCTCCAGGACAGATTTGTTAGTTCTTTTAGCAGTCCATGGTACTTTCAGTATCAGTGTTTCTCTGCTATTCATAAAGCTTTCCCTGGCCAACTCTTTGAGAAGTGGATGGCCTTTTCCTTCTTCCTAGTCTGTCTCAGTCTGCAAGCCACGCTGATACCTGTGTACCATGTGCACCCTGCTGGGTTTGAAACACCAGTGGTACAGCCTCAAGATTCACAGCAACATGTCACCACAGTAGGACAAACTGACAGACAAGTTTGTCTCCCTTAGCTGTTGGAAACCTCTCCAATCTCACCTTACCTGGATCCCTATTGCTGCCTCCTAACTCTGTCTCAGTCCCCCTGGCCTTTTTCTGTCCAGCACCCTTTTCCTACCTTGCCACTTGTGGGGGCATGGCCTGGGTTCCCTCCCCTCACCTGGATCCTTGAGGCTGACTCCTCCATTGCATGCATATGGGGCAATAAAAAACATCACTGTGTTGGTAAGGTGACACGTTGCTTTTTAACACTTTAAAGAAGTCTTTTGCAGCAGATTTGCCCAATGCAATACATCATTTTATTTCTTGATTGCCGCTTCCACGGGCGTTGATTGAGGATTCCAGTAAAATGAAATCCTTGACAACTGCAATGTTTTCTCCGTTTATTATGATGTTGCTTATTGGCGCAGTTGTGAGGATTTTTGTTTTCTTTATGTTGAAGTGTAGTCCATACTGAAGGCTGTAGTCTTTGATCTTCATCAGTAAGCACTTCAAGTCCTCCTAACTTTCAGCAAGCAAGTTTGTGTCATCTGCCTATTGTGACTATAAATGAGTCTTCCTCCAATCTTGAAGACTCCATCTTCTTCATATAGTCCAGCTTCTCAGAATCTATAATTATTTGAAAATAAAATTTTAAAAACTTTTTAATGAAAAAAGGGCCTAGGAAAGATGAGAGAAGAACACCAACCTTGCGACAGACCTTCCCATTGCAGGGTGGTTTTCTTTGGTTGCTGCTTTATTCACAGTAATGTATCCCTCCCTTTCACCTACAGACACACAAACTACCATCCTTACGAAAAAATTTCCAATCTACTGGAAGGTTCTGTGATAGTTGGAGCTGGGTGTCAACTTGGCTGGACCACAATTCTGTGTGGTTTAAGCAGCTGTGATGTGGGTCATTCCCTAGGGGTGTGGGCTGTTTCCAGTGTATTTATGGACATCCTGGGAAAAGATCACACTCTTTTGTGAATCGGGATTCTGTTGTGCTGCCTTCAATAGTCTGTGAGCAAACAGTCCTCCACTTGGCCTGGAGATCTTGGATTCATCATTCGTTGGAGTCACTGCCTGCCAGCCTTGAGCTCCTCAGCCTCTGCAGCTGTAGGAGTTGGGAAAAGCCTCCAGCTTGACATTTGATCCAAGAACTTGGGACTTGCCACCTTCTACAAGTGTGTGAGCCATTTTCCTAAGATAAATTCCTTTTCTTTTTTCTCTCTCTCTTTCTATATATATATAAGCGTTACTGGTTTTACTTCTCTAGAGAACCCTAACACAGGTCCCTCAGACCAAGACTTACAGAAAAGTTGTATCAGTAAAAATAGTTAAAACAACAGAATAGCCCTTTTCCAGATTGACCTATAGTTATTATTTTAACTCATTTGATTTATTACATGAGCTCTATCTATCTCATTGTTTCTGAACCATTTAAGGGTAAGTTACATCATGGTCCTTTGTCCCTACATAGGGTAGGTAGTGTTTGTTTCCTAAGAAAGAAATTTCCTAAGAATATTTTTGTATATAACCACAGTATAGTTATCAGTTTCAGCAAATTTAACATTGCTTCATACCAATAGTATTCCACTTTTGTCAGCTGACCAAATAACTTCCAGTACAAAATTCAATCAAGGGTGAGATGTTGCACCTTAGTTGTCATGTCTCTTTGTCTTTGACACCAATCTCTCTGCATCATCATCAAACCCAAAAAACCAACTATCAGCGAGTCTATTTCGATTCATAGCGACCCTGTAGGTCAGAGTCAAACTGCCCCTTATGGTTTCCAAGGCTGTAAATCTTTACAAAGACTGGCTCATCTTTCTCCCGCGGAGCTGCTGGGGAGTTGAAATGGCTGAGGTTTTGGTTAGCAGCCGGATGCTTTAACCACTGAGCCATCATCGTCCCAAAAAAAAAAAAAAAAAAAAAAATCCTCACTGCCATCGAGTCGATTCCAGACACCCAGAATTCCCATCTGAAAAGTAGGATAACAGTGATTTGCCCCGCCTATCTCTCCGGCTATGGTTAAAAGCGCTTTCAGACCAGACGAACTAAACTCAGTTCGGTTCTATATCATTGTTTCTGAGAAGCTTATCAGCTTTTGAAGGGAAGTGTGGGCAAAGGAGGACCACTTTGGTTTTTCGCTGGGAAAACGGCTTGGAGCAGAGCGAGTGAGCTCAGAGCTTGAAGAAAAATGATTTGGGAAGAAGCCTTCTCTGGAAGTGGGAGTGAGACCCTGAGATGTGACTCCTCCTCTCTCCGCTCCTCCTTACCTGGAAGGTCATGTGGCCAATCCTGCGCGCAGCCCGGGGCCTCGCGGCCAATCGGAAGGCAGCGCGGCGCGCTTTTTTCCCCGGCGCTATAAGTGCGGATGGAGCGGCGGAAAGTGAAAGTGGTGCCAGTTCCAACGGGTGCAGCCTGGGACTGGAGCGCAGCAGCCCAAGCGGAACCGCAAGCATGCTCACGTCTCCAAAGCTGCCACCGGGGGAAGCGGGCACCGCTGACCGCTTTCCCCAGACCACGCTATCGCCCCAGTCCAAGCCGCTCACCTCCTTCCTCATCCAGGACATTCTGTGGAACGGCGCAGAGCGACGCAGCGGCGGCCACACGGGCATTTCCGAGCCGCAGCCCCCGCCGCAGTGCCCGCGCGAGTCAGACACGCGCCGGGACCCTGAGCCGGAGAGAGGACGAGCCCGCACCGGGGGGCTAGAGGAGGAGTTGAGCGCCCAGCCCAGCGCCGCTCCTGGGGAGGCCGGGAACCTGGCGGAGCTCGAGCCAGGTACGTCGGCGAGGTCGGGGGTGGGGTGAGGTCCTGCAGGAGTGGCCGATGGGCCCAGAGACTGGAGGGGCGTTGGGGCCCGGGGGAGGGGTGGTCCGAGCAGACTTTACGGAGCCCTGAATGCAGGGGTGCTGCGCCTCATTGACAAGCAAAGAGACTCGATCGTACAAAAGCCCCAAGCTTGCCTCGAGGATTCACTCTAAGCCCCAGAGTCAGGGCGGCGCACGATGTTGACATCGGCTCTGCTTTCCTGTCGCGTTGCGTTCTGCTCTGCGGCTCTTGCTTCTCCGGGGCTCCAGAGCCAGCCAGCGCGCACAGCGCTCAACCCGCCGCGGGCAGAAGCTCAGGTCCGCCAGCGAAGCTTGTGGAAATCCGACACCACCCTCCCACAGCTCAGAGCAACCGCACGACCTTTGAAAGGCAGCGACCCCAAGTCACTTCTTGGCGGTTAATATAGCTAATAATATTGTTAATAAACTAGGGTTTGATCAGTAAACACTCCTTTGCTTCCCAAACCTATGGGCATTGAAAAGGTAAATTTTGGAAGTTCCCTCTGGTCTTCAAGAGGAACAGAATAGATTTCATTTCTTTTCCACCACTTGTTATGAGGCAACCTATCGCCTCGTTTAGAAGAAAACCGATTAAAAAGAGAGAATGAATTTTTTGCTGCCTTTAATCTTGACAAGTGCTTGCAAGCCCTCTCTTGCCCACCCGGACGTTAACACCAGATGCTTTTTAGTCCCACTTTACCAGGTATCTCTGGTGGCGTAATGCCTAAGGCATTTATTTGACTGCTAATCAGAAAGCTGGCGGTTCAAACCCACCAGACACTCCTCGGAAGGCAGGTTGGGCAATCTACTTCCATACTACTGCCTCTGAAACCCAAGGAGGTATCTCTATGAATCGGATCCAACTCCATGGCAGTGAGGTTTTTTTTTTTTTTTTTTTTTATCTTAGTGCCTTTCCTGCTTCCCTTTTCTCACCACAACTTAATACACACATCCAGAATCTCTATTTAGTTCAACCACTAAATAGCTCTAACTCTGGGTTCCTGCTGATCATTAGAAAACTAACACATACATATTTACTCATTCTCCACTCTGGAGAGTTGCTTACCCCAACCAGACCAGACCCATTGCCATCCAGTTGATTACGACTCATAGCGACCCCCCAGAGTTTCCAAGGCTACAAATCTTTACAGAAGCAGACTGCCTCATCTTTCTCCCATGGAGCAGCTGGTGGGTTTGAAATGCTGACCTTTTGGTTAGCAGTTGATGCCTTACCACAGCACCACCAGAACTCCTACTGGTTTAAGGAGAGTTCCTTAGTCATGTGAAAAAAGTGAAATGTATCCAAGATGACAGTAAGCTGTTTGTTCACTCACTAAAGAGATAAGTGTGGATTGAATTCTATTCTCTTCCTTGTTAACATGTAACTTTGTTCTTCCCATCCATCCCTCCTTCTCCCCTCTACTTTCCAGATAGGCACTTTGAGACTTATCTCTTGGACTGTGAAAACACTTCTGGCCTCCCACCAACACCCAAGCAGCAACAGAAGCGTGCCCGATCAGCCTTCTCCCACACGCAGGTCATTGAATTAGAGAGGAAGTTCAGCCATCAGAAGTACCTGTCAGCTCCTGAAAGGGCTCACCTGGCCAAGAACCTCAAGCTTACTGAGACCCAAGTGAAAATATGGTTCCAGAACAGACGCTATAAGACTAAGAGGAAGCAGCTCACCTCTGACCTAGGAGACCTGGAGAAGCACTCCTCTCCGCCATCCCTGAAAGAGGAGAGCTTCTCACGGGCCTCCCTGATCTCCATGTATAACAGCTACCCATACTACCCCTACTTTTACTGCCTGGGGAGCTGGAGCCCAGCTTTCTGGTAATGCTTGCTCAGACGACCACCGTGTATGATCAGAAACTCTTCCCCAAGTTGTCCCTCTGGCAAGCAAAAGGGGCCAGGGTCAGGGAGGACTGAGGAGCAAGATATGTCAGAGGTTTGCATGGGAATCCAAGATTCTTCACTGGCGAGCCGAAGGACAGATAGGGAATAGTGAATATTTTAATATTTAAACAATTCATCTAACACACAATGTAGGTCATTTTTGCTTTTAGCTACCAGTTTAAAGCAGGGAGGGATGTACTCAGGTGCTGTTTGTAGCACTTTGTATGAGTTGTTCACATCACTTCTGGGTATTCCATCCCTACAACTTCATCCTCCATGTAACTGAATATTGACTCTGAAAGAGCCAGCCTGAAGGGAGGAAGGACAGCCAAGAAGAGAATGTTGCCTACATTGGCCTTGGATTCTGACCAAGGTTTCCTTCTGTCTCTGTAAGAGAGAAGGAAATAAAGGGCCTCAAAGGGAAATTTCTCATGTTCAGAACAGATTGGCATGGGATATGGAGATGAGTGGTGGGAGATGGAAATATCAGTGGCTTCTTATTTCTTTTTATACAGCACACCAATTTAAGTATTTATAGGGAGACCCAGGTAAAACATGACCCACTCAGTGTGGTTTTAAGACAAGCTGCATAAATAGAACTCTACTACAAGGGGTGGGTCCCTGGCAGGAGAGCCCTAGCATGTCCAAGACAGGGCCCTCAGGAGGGTCTCTGCTTTGCTGCTGAGGGATGTTGGCAAAAGGTAAAAAGGCCTCTTCTGGGCCTGAGGATTTAGACCCAGAAAGATCTTGGCATTCTACATCATGACATGTCACCTAGTTCTTAAGTGTAAGGGCTTGCTTTTATTATTTTGTTCATTTTCTAAAGCAATCACCCACTGAAGGGCTTCTTTTCAGTCTATAATTTTAGTTTGGCTGCACCCAACATACACCTTCCTTATTTAGCGTGAGACTTGGTCTTTTTGTTTTCCCCTCAAGTTTTATGTCCATAGGGTTTAAAAAAGAAAAAGAAGGGAGGGGCATTTTTAAACTAGTAGCTCTTATTTTTTCATTTAAAAATAAATACACAGCATTAAATTCTAAATCCTATTTAAAGACCTGACAGATCTACAGGGTCACTCACTGCTGCTTTGATAAGACTTGGTGGTGGCTATGTTGTTATTGTTCAAAGTTTGACAATCCTTTACGCTTGAACTCTTCGCTGGCAGCAGAGGTAAAAGTATTGGGCTCTCACATGCAAGGAACACTGCATAAAATGGAGGGCCAGGCATCATGGCACTGTCTAGTGGAAATGGAGGACTCATGGGCTAGGACTAGAAGGAAATGCAGCCCAGGCTTTGGAGAGCTTCTTACTGCTTAGTCCACAGAGAAAGCTGAAAGGGCTGAGAGGACTTTGCAGAGAGAGGTGAAGGAAAATGAAACTGTTTTCAAAACAATATTGTGACTTCTATCACCAAACAACAAAAATGTCTAGATACTTTAGAAACCATGTTTGATGCCTGTATATATAGCCTACATATATTTCTTAAAGTCCTGGTCCCCAAAATGGGTCACTAGTGGCTTCAGAGGGAATGAAAGGAAGAAAACAGAAAGATTTAGCTTCCGCTCATTCTTCTCCTACTATCTCAGATACCTGGTAGAGGGGAGACATCAGAAGTAAAAAAGGCACTTACTAACGAAGTACCCTAAGGCCCGGAAGTCTCTTGATTCCACTACATAATTCTTATAAGCAAGAAACCTTTCAATTTCCTCCTGAAAGTGTCAGTTTACTGTTGGTGACAAAACTGCCAAAGTTAGTTGGTAGGAAGTTTCTATGGTTTGGGCTCCACATTCCAGTATTGCCAAATGCTGTGTACTACAGCTGACCCCACAGTAATAGCACAGAAGGCAGAATTGCTTAAATTGCGTTCTCCTTTTCTGCATCTTTTGTGTTTCAGTACTCATTTTCATTACCCTTTCCATTCCTATTCTGAATTTAATTTGCTCAAACTAAAATTCTGCAAGTGTTACACATTTTTCTGTGATGTATGTGGTGTTGCAAAAAAAGAAAAAACCTTTAAAATTTTTTTTCTTCACAAATCCATCTTTTCTCACATTGGAACTAGCTATTCATTCATATCTGAACTAGTAGAAAAAAACATGAAGAACTAGTCTATCAGTATCTGACAGGTGAACTGGATGGTGCCCTTTACTGTTTCACCCAGACAGCCTACTTCATTTCTGTTTAATTAGTTCTTTTGGGCTCCTCCCCATGTGTATAGCAAATTCTGCTCTGATTTCTAACATAAAAGCCTTGACTTGAAGTTTAGTAAAGTAGCCCCAACCAAACTTTATTTTTCTATGTATTTTTTGCAACATATGAGTGTTTTTAAAATAAAGTACTGTGTCTTTATTAGAAATACCTTTGTGTGGTTTTCTGTGTCCTAAGACTGCATCCCGTTTAATTTACGTAATTCTGGTTACCATGTTCTTCCACCATTAGCTGGCCCGACAAGCCTATGAACCAAAGAACCAAAAGCATCAGTGTAGCCAGGAACAGATAATTGTCATTTTTTTATAACTACATTGCCCTTGGAGCCCGGAAATCATAGGAGGAGAAAGAAATTTCTGTATTAGTTTAATACTCACCTGTTCATTGCTATCATGTCAACTCCAATTTTTGACGACCCCATGTGTGTGTCAGAGTAGAACTATGCCCCATAGGGTTTTCAATGGCTGATTTTTCAGAAGTAGGTTTTCTTCTGAGGTGACTCTGGGTGAACTAGAACCTCCAACCTTTTGGTTAGCTGCTGAATGCATTAACTATTTGCATGCCCCCACCCCCACACAAAAGACTCCATTCAAGTGATACCTCTTGTTTAAATTTAAATCGTTCAGATTTTACTTCCATTTCTTGAAGGGCCCTGAAGGAAATTGGAGATCACAGAAATACTTCTTTTAAAATTTCCTTTTTTCCTCCCACTAGCCCCAAACAACTGCTTCCCTGCCCTTTTGCACCTACATCTCCTTGAAAACTTAACCTTCACCCAGAGCAGACAGACTTCTTGCAAGTGACACCTTTGAACTGGTATCACAAGTATGGAAAACAGGCATTATTAATGTGTTAAAGTTAAAAAATAAATAAAATGTGCTTCATCCTCTTGCACTTAAGCCTTCATTACATCCCGCCAGTAGGGTGCCTTATGCACCTGACTACCTGAGAGAACTGATGGTTTTCTCCCCACACCCCCTTTCAAGGAAATAGAAGCTTAAAGAGTAAGGTGCTTACTCTAGGTAAAACATATCATAATTTCAAAGTTTGCTCTAATCTTTTAAGTACATTGTACACACAGGTGGGGCCTCTCATAACAGGTTCATATCATGAGATTTAACTCTTTGCACAAATCTGTAAGCATTCTTCCCTTCCCCTGGGAGACCATTAGCTCTCAAATTACAAAGGCTCTTGCAGTAAATTAACAGATGTGAATTAAAAAAAATAAATAAATAATAACTCATCCAGGAAATTAAACAAAATCCTCTCATCTCTAAAGATTCTCTCTGCCTTCTTTTCTTTGTCCTCTTTCTAATTTTCCCTCCATATATCTGTTAATCCCACACCCATCTTCTTCCAACATCTTCCCTTAGCCTGCCACATGTCTGTGGTGTTTGAGATTCCTTTTCAATCTGTCTCTCAAGTGAATTCAGGTGTAAGTTTCTGGAGTCACTGCAGTTTTGCCACTGGTGGTCCCATTAACCCTCCATAGGCCTCCTTAGGAAGGTCTTAGAGGCCGAAGGGCAAGGAATGTCAGAGATTTATACCTAATAGAAACCTTTTGCCTCTAACTACAAAAGAAATAGTTATTTTCCAGGATGATGTTAACATTACTTCAGGTCCCTGTGTGGTACAGTTTGTGCTCAACCACTAAGGAAAGCTGGCAGTTCGAAGCTACCCAGTGGTGCCAAAGAAGAAAGATCGGGTGATATGCTTTCACAAAGATTACAACCAAGAAAACCTTCTGGAACAGTCCTATGCTGTAACATATGGGGTTACCCTGAATGCGAATCAACTCGACAACAGTGGTTGGGTTTTCTGGGGGTGGGGGGAGGATTAAATATTACACATCTTGAAGCTGAACTCAGAAGGAACAGTGGCCATGAAGAGAAAGCCACTTAGATTAGGTGCCCTGAAAACCACTGAGCGATGAAGAGTAGCATGCAGAAGGTTTATTGGGAGTGCTTTCAGGTGAAACATCTGCAAGGAAATGAGGACAGGAGAATTGAAGAGAAGGAGAAGGTGACCTGCTACACAGTTAGACAGTTTCAAATCTAAAGTGTCCAAAATTCAGGCAAGGGATCTGGGTATTTGTATGCCAGAATCAGTCATTTATTGGCTGTGGGCTGCCTCCTTAAAGTGGGAGTAACTTTGGGCAATGCAGCTCCTTTCTGTGGAAGGCAAGGCCCATTTAGAGACAAAGCTGTGTCATTAGCAGCCAATATTCCCAGCAGCTGGAGACTATGAGGTGTATTGACTCTACAGAGGGAAGCCTCAGTAGAGCACCATAAGGATACTTTCCTTGGTCAATGTCAGGGCTATGGTCACCATCATTTTTCACCAGGAAATATTTGAGTCAAGAAGGTCAGACTAGACTTAGTGCACCAAGTTCTGCTCTCAGACATCCAGACTCTGCTCCTCCCACCATCATCATGAATATGTCACTAGGGCATGTTTTTCGAAGCCAAGAATTATTTTCTGCCCCAGGAAAAGGGCAGAAATGATAATCTGGGACATGAAGGACTCCTAGTTTAGCTATAGACTTAGCTTTCATGCAAGCTTTCCCAGACAGACTAGAGCATCAAAAGACTTATCTAAAGTCTGCAAGGGAGAGGGAAAAAAATCTCAATTTCCATAATGTTCCCTCACCTCACCTCTGTAATGGCTCCAAATGGGGCCTTGACTTATTTCCTGACCTTGCTGATATGGGTTGGCTCGTTCAGGACAAATCC